ATGGACAAAATTGCGGGCAGTTTGAGTATTTAGTGATTTACAATATTTATTCCCGAGTATTTCCCTATTGATATAATGTGCCCCTATTTATAACACAACGCCGATTGTAATTCACATTTCATTTATTATTGCACTTTACTGTTGGAGTTAACTATAAATTGAATGCACAAAATACTGCGAATTCCTGATTATTCTGGCAATTATGTGAAGAATATTCCGTGTCATTGAATTCAATGCACTTATTTTGTCCGTTCATTACATAAGTTTTTGTACACTAAAAGGCACTAAAAATCTTGATCGCAATTTATTTGCTCACTCTTCTCAACCGTATGGACTCAACTGTACAAACCGTTAGATCTGTATTTAAATTACAAAATACTTAATCCTATTTGAAAGTACAAATTGAATCCTAAATTCGTGTGAAATTTAATATGAAATTCTGTGTGTTTTGAAAATAATTATTAGTAAAATGCTTACAAGTAATGGACAGTTAAGTGCAAGAATTCAAATAAAAACGCACTTTATTTGATGATTATTGAGTACTCATATAGTATTCAATAAGTTGTGGTCTCTCTCTCTCTCTCTCTCTCTCTCTCTCTCTCTCCATAAACAAAATTGTTTACAAAACAAGTTCTAAGTTTTAATTCCAAATTTATGAGTTGAAAACAAAATAATCCTTTCAATAACAACAGAATCTTCTCATTCAATACTAAACATTAAATGTTAATTAAATTTTAAATATTTCATTCAATATTTTAATTAAAAGTCTAATACTTTAAATAACAACTAATTACTAATTAGTATTGAAACTTAAAATAAATTAAAACAAATTTGATTAAACTAGGTCAGCGATCTGTTTATTAAATAACCATTGTATAATACTAAACCATATGGGCGCCAGTAAATCACAATTAAAGCAACTAATGATTTTACACAACACAAACACATTAGCAGTACAGTATACAATCGGAGGCACCATTTAATTCCAACTTATTTATGCTCCCATTTTTAACCTAGGTGCTTTATATATATTTTTTCAATTGGAAAATTTTTGTATTCATTGAACGCAGAGGCATAAAAGGCACCTAGGTTCAAATGAGAACAAAAATCGTTTGGAATTAAGTTATGTCACCAAATTGTATGAATCAAAGACTATACTGTATTTCCAATTAATATTTATTATGTGATTCTCAACGGGAAAATGGATGAGAGATAAGAATCCGTATATATTGTGGTGTATTGAGAGTGGGATTGAGAATTGGCCTCCAATTTAAGCCAATCCTTATTCACGACATTCAATTTGGGTGAGAATTAGGACCGAGAGTATTGTGTGTGTGCTTTATATGCTATTTATACCTTAATAAAGTAAATACAATTTGTGTGTAACTAAGCAACAGATGAAGGCATGTATGAAAGGTTAAGGGAGGATGCAAAAATGATTGTTCCTAGAACAGTTATTTATTGATAACTTTGTGATCATCTATCACATAATTTGCCCACTCATTCAAATAAAGCCATTAGTTATCATACTTTATAATGGTATACACGTTGGGTATAATTGCAATTAATTGATTGCTATTTTGTTAATAATAACCAATATGGTATATGATTAGTGCATTATTAATGTTTGTATTGATGTTAACATTTAGGAGGGTTAGGAGTGGCCATAAAAACAATAGGCTTTTAAATAAAGGTTATGTTGACTTTTATTGTGGAAATTTTTATCTCAAGTATTTTCATCTGAATAACAGGTTTCTAGAGATCACTCGTTATGTTTGACGAGAAAATATTCTGTGTATTCAACCATAGATTAAACATTGCGACTGCATTTTGATGTGGTTTTGCTGTATATTCTTGATATTCATTGTAATTATATACACGTAAGTGTGCACAGAATATTCTGCGATTCTAGGGATTATGGTTAAAGAATGTCATAGTTTTATATAATTAAATAAAACAATTAGAGACACGCGTGAATATTCTACTTTTACTTATTTAGTTTTTTGTTTCATTAAAAAATTATTTAATGATTTAAAACAATCCTCTAAACCCATATGCATAAAGTTGCGAACACACTGTATGTGTTACCATATATTACATGGAATACAAATATAATATTATATGATAGTCATTGTTATTTTTTCAAACGCATAAAACGTTAGTTAATTTATTGCATGTTATTATTATAATTAAGAATTTTATATAATTAAATCTCTCTCTCTCTCTCTCTCTCTCTCTCTCTCTCTCTCATCTATCCGTAAAATACTTATGCACTAAAAAGTGTTGTCATAACTACACAATGAATATTCTGAACGTATAAATACTGTTATATGGTTAAAAAAAATAGTTACCTTATAATGATTTGTTTGCAAAACAACATTATTTAAACAGAGAAGCGCTGCACCGATGAAATGATATGTTTGTGTTTTCCCCCAATGAATGAAATGTAACAGTATTTCCAGGAATAGAGCACTCATTAATGAATTCAAATAGTATTTTATTTGGAAATTTTAATTCATTTACGTTTACAATATTACATATCATATGTTGCGATGAATTTTAATTTGATTTATTGGTTCTGGGTTTTTTAATTATGGTATATTTCATTATATAATATGTACATTACGTACAATATATTTTCATAATAAATTATGAAATTTTTATGAGTATTAATTTATGCAAAAAGTTATGTATTAAATAATTAATGTAATGAATGCAAAATTGCGAAATATAATAGGTTTTTGTTATAATTATAGCTCAATATATAGAAATAGAGAGAGAGAGAGAGAGAGAGAGAGAGAGAGAGATTATTTGAGAGCAAATAAATGAGTTACGAATTGATAAGAAAAGTAGACTTTTCAACAGCCCTTTCATTCACTCATATGTATAGTTATTAGTAGTTATTGTCGTACAGACAGAGAGACAGAAAAGTGCTGTCAATTGTATTATCCGTTTTCGTTCACCAGAAATGCATTCATCACTAGTTTTGTCGTCTCATAAATCATTATAACGAGTGTCTGAATTGTTAAAGTATTTTCTCGTATGCGATAAATATAAATAATAACAGCAATTATTTCTTTCGCAACACATTATAATACATGTGTCCGACAGACAGACATATAGACAGATAGACCGACAAACCGATAAACATATAGAGAGTTCGTCCGTCAGTCAAAGTCAGTCCAAATGTATTCATTATTTAGCGATTTGTCTGAATTTTATGATATATTTTTATGAAATTTGTTTTCAAAAATGAAAATGACATAAAAATTAATAATTTTATTAAAGGCAAACATGTAATTAATGTGATTGTGTTCAACATTCATCATAATTTAGTACATTTGTAAGACAATTAAATACTATGCCATTAAATATTACATAATTTAATGTACAAAAGTTATTTAAATAGCATGGTAGTTCATTTACTCGAATATTATAATGAGATTGTATAACAAAAATACAGCATTTATAAGATGGTAATTTGAAATTTCTTATAAATTTGCCAAATACAAAATTGATATGAAATGATTAAGGTAATTAAAATAAAAAAGGACTTGGGCTATTACACCTTTGACAATGATCATTTGTTGGTTAACCATTTTTACACACTCTCAGCGCTGTATTTGTACCATGGTACATTTTTGTTTATAGTCCTTTTTATACACACTCTTATTGATAGCCCTTTTGTATTGCAATACATTGACAGCTGTTTTACACACTCTTATAATTTAAACTTAAATCTAATCTTAAATCTATACAAAACTATTTTACTAAAACTTTTATATATCTGTTAATTTAATATTTAATACATTTTTACAGTTTGTAATAAATCGATGTAAAATATTTTAAGCAAAATGATTTTGTTTCATCAGTTTCATTATAAGTTTTACCAGATTTTATCACAAAAAAACCACGATTGGTTAAATTAATAATATAATAATACATCTCTTTTTAATTTTTAACAAAATATTTTATTTAAACCAATAACAATATAATGTTTACTTTTGCAATATTTAAGCTCTAGATATATTAATTGCAAAATAATATTAATTATAAAACACATTTAATATTAATGAAAAGCAAACCAAAATCTAAAATCACTTATGATTATGATTTTTGGCCATAAAATTAATTATTAATATCATTTTAATTGCCAATACATGTAAACGCGTTAAAACTGAATACAGATTTTAATTGAAAAACTTTTCATTTGTTTTAAATGATTGAATGCTTTATTAATTATTAATAACAATTTTTCCGCCGAAACAACTCATTATTCATTACTAACTGATTCTGTATATGATTTTTGCCATTAAAAATACAGCGCCCGAAGTGTTTGAATGCGCTCTCGACTATATACCCGGCTATTCATTCCCAGTAAGTAATTGTTTAGTTATATAATGAGTAGTTTATGTTAAGATACACTCGCTATAAATTATTTATAATTTGTATTACAATATATACCGTATGTGTTTGTGGGCGACAATAATGTACACAATGTATGCACAGAAAAATAAAACAATAGAGAAGACAATAAAGTGTTTTCTAGTGTTTGCGAAGTCTTAGAAAAGTTTGAGAGAAAGAGAGAGAGCAAGAATTAATTTTTATGTATTATACTGTTATGTAGAGAATGGCAACGAGAATATTATTCTACTCTTAAATATATTTAACAGTATTTTATTTTTATTGTTTGCAAGAATTTTTTTTTGATGAAAATAAATGATTGGATTGTCGTTTGAGAGCTATTAATATAATGGAAAATACCGTTAATATAAAGTATAGAGAATTAGACCAGAATAAAGATCGTATAAGAGATCCGATAATAATGTTGTATATCATGAAAATTACATCCGAAATCAGAGAGAGAGAGACCAAATGATAATCCAAATATAAAATATCCAGATATTCCAAATGAAAATGCATGTCAACAGTAAAAACATGAGCCAATTCTGCAGTATATGATAGGACTACGGCTATTGTTGTTGTATAACTTGATTAGATATCACAGTCAAGTAAATAGTATTAAGACAACAAAAAGTAAATCCATTATTATTATTAGATGTACATAATGTGATACATTATATAATACAATATAATGTGAACTTACTTTTGTTTGACTATCGGCTAACACACTAGGCTTATAATCACAGCCGCAATAACCATATATAATCATTGACTCCATGTTTGACTGTAACCATTATGTATACATTAGGCCGACTGGTGGTCATTGGGCTGTTGCGGATATGAGATGCTGTGCGGACAGCGGCCGTACGACATCCACTCGACCACACCTCTAGATCAAGTGCTGGCGATGCAACGCAAACCGTGTCCCGAGTTTCCCGCACACATCACCCATTCGTGTCAACATATGATACAACGGCTACTGAATCCGGACCCGAAGGCGCGGATCAGTTGCATCGGTGACCTGAAGAAGTGCTCCGCTTACTCGACGATGAGCTTCGAGGCGGCGCTCCGGCGAGCGGTTCCGCCGACGTTCGTACCGCCGAAGGATCAGCTGAACTGCGATCCGACCTTCGAGTTGGAAGAGATGATAATCGAAGCGAATCCGTTGCATAAGAAGAAGAAACGGCTTCAGAAGCAGCAAAGTATGCGACGGATGAATACCGTGAGCTCTGGCGGTGGCGCCGGTGTTGAGCGCCAGAACTCTAGTCCCATGTTTTCGGAGACCGGAGCCGGAGATGAGGTCGAGTTGTCGGCGGTGGAGAAGTGCCTCGAATCCATTCATCAGCAGTTCATTGTCTATAATAGGGAAAAGTAAGTGTTCAGTCCTTACAACCCGACCCTCCCTTTCCATTGAATGCAAACATTCACTCAAAGAGAGTGTTTTTTAGTGAAATTGGATTTAATTTTAGTAAAATTTCGCAAAAAGTATATTAAAATATTAGTTTTAGTGATTTTATGCTAAAATTAACACATTATAAATGTAATAGACATTTATTGTCTTAAGTCCTTGCAATTGAATTAAGTAAATGGGGTTTAATCTCAATTAAATTTTACAACATTTTTATAATCACATAATACACAGCATTACAAACGCTCTATGATTTAAGAGCTCATTCCCGGCACTCAGTTATGTCTTACATCTCATCTCATTTTCACCAGAAAAAAGTAATCTCTTTGAATCTCTCACTAGTCTTAAGCCTGTGTTTCAATTACTGCCCCAAAAACATATATGTAATGAATGGGAAGATAAAGGAAAAGAAACAAAATCTAACAAAAATCCAATTCTCGTAAAGAATTGCATTAATATTTTGTGTCTCAATAATAATGGCATTGAATAGAGAGCTGAGAGATAAAGGAATTCATTACAATATTTATTTCCTCTGAACTTCTCGATAGCCGTTCACTACTTTGTAATCAAGATTTGGTTTTATTTGTTGTTGTTTTCTGTTTTCATTATTCATATCTTGATTTACATAGTATTGAATCTTTTTCTTGTCAGTGAATTGAATCCGAGAAATGGGTACTAAATATACAAATCATTTCTTCTTATTCATCTCTTAAGCTTTTGTCTCGTCGATCGATATGTGAAACAAAAAACAAAAATATAAATAAAAATTTTAATCATTTTTAGTAAATTCCTGAGACAATGACTATAAAAAATAATGATATTTATAATATTAATACTATGATATAAAACTTAATAATATCTTATATTATTCTCTCTCTCTCTCTCTATTCAATGCCATTATTATTGAGACACAAAATATTAATGCAATTCTTTACGAGAATTGGATTTTTGTTAGATTTTGTTNATATTTTTCTCTCTCTCTCTCTCTCTCTCTCTCTCTCTCTCTCTCTCTCTCTCTCTCTCCCTCCCTCTTCCATTGTAGTGAATAGTGACATAAGTATATTAAATCTTTTGATTATATTCTGGCTTTTTATGCGAAACAACAAACAAAATATAGTTTATTTGTATTATTTCTTTAATCCAAATCAGAAAATAATACACTAAAAAATTTAAGTACTAAATATAAATCTGTTGTAATATAGTGTAGAAAATGAAAAATAGAGAGAGAGAAAGAGAATTTTTATATTATATTTTTAATATTTTTAATTCAACAACTATTTATAGTTATAAATGTTAGACTATTTTAATCTTGATATTTTCAACTTAATAAAACAAGTTTTGTTTTATTGTTATTTTTAAATAAAAAACAAAAATAATAATTTATTAGAAGAAATATAGAGTAACACAAAATCTAATACTAAATCACAGAAAAAGAATTGAATAAATATCACATAATTTAAAGACAAACACATATTTTGCATAACAAATGTTAAGTAATTTACATAAAAATACATTCAAAAAGTATTGTATTTTTTAAATAAAACAGTTGTACATAAAAGGGGAGTCAGAAATGCTATTTTCATTAATGACTACAAATTAGTCTTAATTTAAGAAAGTATTATAATTTTTTTATTCATAAAAAACTTCATAAGATTTACATAAGAATTGATTTAACAACAAAAAAATTGCACACAAATTGCAAATTAAATTCAACACAAAAGAAACGCACAATTCTTTGAATAAAAATAAAATAAAGTATTTAAAACTTTAAGAAAAATCTTGTTAAAAAATTTTATAATAAAATCTACATTCTACAAACTATGGTACAATATAATAGATACTAAACATGATACTAATTACTCTATTTCTAAAATTTATACCCGGAGTCTATAACTTATAAGTATTATTCGTATATATCCTGAAAGCACTTTAAATCTTGTTTTCTTTTGTGTAATTATTTTTGAAAAGTAATAGAAAATAAGAAAATTAATTACCAATCCTTTAACTCAACTCTTTTTAATTGTATTTTATTTTATTTTTGACAAACTTATAGAGAGATTGTACGCAAGAAAATGGAGGAAAGGGAGCGCCTGTGGGAGGAAGAGCTTCAAAAAGTTATTAATGACTGAAACAACTATAATAATCATCATTATTATAATGAATTTATATTCAATATTAATAATAATATAATTTATTGCATGTTATTATTATAATTAAGAATTTTATATAATTAAATCTCTCTCTCTCTCTCTCTCTCTCTCTATTTCTATATATTGAGCTATAATTATAACAAAACCCTATTATATTTCGCAATTTTGCATTCATTACATTAATTATTTAATACATAACTTTTTGCATAAATTAATACTCATAAAAATTTCATAATTTATTATGAAAATATACTGTACATATATTATGGTACATATTATATAATGAAATATACCATAATTTAAAAACCCAGAACCAATAAATCAAATTAAAATTCATCGCAACATATGATATGTAATATTGTAAACGTAAATGAATTAAAATTTCCAAATAAAATACTATTTGAATTCATTAATGAGTGAACTATTCCTGGAAATACTGTTACATTTTTATTCATTGGGGAAAAACACAAACATATCATTTCATCGGTGAAGCGCTTCTCTGTTTAAATAATGTTGTTTTGCAAACAAATCATTATATGATAACAATTTTTTAACCATATAACATTTATTTATACATTCAGTATATTCGTTGTGTAGTTATGACAACACTTTTTAGTGCAAAAGTATTTTACGGACAGATGAGAGAGAGAGAGAGAGAGAGAGAGAGAGATTTAATTATATAAAATTCTTAATTATAATAATAACATGCAATAAATTAACTTACGTTTTATGCGTTTGAAAAAATAACATCTATAATATTATATTTGTATTGTATGTATAATATATGGTAACACATACAGTGTTTTCTCGACTTTATGCGTATGGGTTGAGAGGATTGTTTTAAATCATTAAATAAATTTTAATGAAACAAAAAACTAAATAAGTAAAAGTAGAATATTCACGCGTGTCTTGTTTTATTTAATTATATAAAACTATGACATTCTCTAACCATAATCCCTAGAATCGCAGAATATTCTGTGCACACTTACGTGTATATAATTACAATGAATATACAGTAAAACCACATCAAACTACATTTGCAATATTTAATCTATAGTTGAGAGGCACATAATATTTTCTCGTCAAACATAACGAGTGATCTCTAGAAACCTGTTATTCAGATGAAAATACTTGAAATAGAAATTTCCACAATAAAAGTCAATATAAACATAACCTTTGTTTAAAAGCCTATTGTTTTTACGGCCACTCCTAGCCCTCCTAAATGTTAACATCTATACAAACATTAATAATGCACTAATCATTTACCATATTGGTTATTATTAACAAAATAACAAATTCAATTGTGTAATCAATTAATTGCAATTATACCCAACGTGTATAACATTATAACGTATGATAACTAATGGCTTTATTTGAATGAGTGGGCAAATTATGTGATAGATGATCACAAAGTTATCAATAAATAACTGTTCTAGGAACAATCATTTTTGCATCCTCCCTTAACCTTTCATACATGCCTTCATCTGTTGCTTAGTTACACACAAATTGTATTTACTTTATTAAGGTATAAATAGCATATAAAGCATACACACAATACTCTCGGTCCTAATTCTCACCCAAATTGAATGTCGTGAATAAGGATTGGCTTAAATTGGAGGCCAATTCTCGATCCCACTCACAATACACCACAATATATACGGATTCTTATCTCTCATCTCTTTTCCCGTTGAGAATCACATAATAAATATTAATTGGAAATACAGTATAGTCTTTGATTTATACAATTTGGTGACATAACTTAATTCCAATCTATTTCTGCTCTTATTTTAACCTAGGTGCTTTTATGCCTCTGCGTTCCATGAATACAAAAATTTTCCAAATAAAAAATTATCTAAAAAGCACCTGGGTTAAAAATGGGAGCATAAATAAGTTTAAATTAAATGGTGTCTCCGATTGTATACTGTACTACTAATGTGTATGTGTTGTGTAAAATCATTAGTTGCTTTGATTGTAATTTACTGGCGCCCATATGGTTTAGTATTGTACAATGGTTATTTAATAAACAGATCGCTGACCTAGTTTAATCAAATTTATTTTAAGTTTCAATACTTATTAGTTGTTATTTAAAGTATTAGACTTTTAATTAAAATATTGAATGAAATATTTAAAATTTAATTAACATTTCATGTTTAGTATTGAATAAGAAGATTCTGATGTTATTTAAAGGATTATTTTGTTTTCAACTCATAAATTTTGAATTAAAACTTAGAACTTATTTTGTAAACAATTTTGTTTATGGAAAGACAGTTTAGAGAGAGAGAGAGAGAGAGAGAGAGAGAGAATGGAAGAAAATTGCGGGCAGTTTGAGTATTTAGTGATTTACAATATTTATTCCCGAGTATTTCCCTATTGATATAATGTGCCCCTATTTATAACACAACTCCGATTGTAATTCACATTTCATTTACAGTATTATTGCACTTCACTGTTGGAGTTAACTATAAATTGAATGCACAAAATACGGCGAATTCCTGATTATTCTGGCGATTATGTAAAGAATATTCCGTGTCATTGAATTCAATGCACTTATTTTGTCCGTTCATTACATAAGTCTTTGTACACTAAAAGGCACTAAAAATCTTGATCGCAATTTATTTGTTCAGTCTTCTCAACCGTATGGACTCAACTGTACAAACCTTTAGATCTGTATTTAAATTACAAAATACTTAATCCTATTTGAAAGTACAAATTGAATCCTAAATTCGTGTGAAATTTAATGTTTAATATGAAATTCTGTGTGTTTTGAAAATAATTATTACTAAAATGCTTACAAGTAATGGACAGTTAAGTGCAAGA